CCCGCCGCTCTGGCAGCAGTGTGGCTTGGTGCGACTGACCCCGCAGTCCACGCGCTGGAAGCCGGGTTCCCTGCTGCAGAGCCGCTGAGAGGGGGTGGCCTGGAGGAAAGTCATTCCCGGCCGCTCCCAGTCTGCTGTGGCTCCCCGGGCCACCACGGCCCCCTCTCTCTCGCGTGCGCGTCCTCTTGTGCCAGGCCCAGGTGGACGCGGCTGGCGCTATGCTGCCTCAACTGGCAGCCTGCAGAATGGGAGCTAAGTAGCGAGGCTTGCTTTATAAAGCACTCAGCCTCCAGCGCTCCGTCACAGCAACACAGCACAAATGCAGCGGAACTGGGCGGCCACCCGCGGGGGACTCTAGCGCAGCGCTGCCTGTTTCCACAGGCAAAAGCCGACCGCACAGCCACACTCACGTCCACCCTGCCTGTGGCTGCATGGTGTACCCCGACAAGTCACAGGGGAAGTCCGGACCGCGGGACCTGAGGACGTGTCTGCACCGAGGAGACAGGGCCCCCGGGGGGCTGAGGCAAAACGAGGTCACGAGGGACAAAGACACGCGAGGGACAGCTGTTAGAGGGCCCCAGAAGAAGAGGGCGCCCAAGGCAAGGACACAGGTGTCCCTTGGGAGGACCCGGTCCGGCCCACAGCTCGACCTTGGCCTTCTGCCTGGCGGCTGGGGGGACAGAGGCCTGCGGTGGAAGCCACCTCCCTGGTCTCCTTCATGGCTAAGATGGTGCAACATAGGGCCTCAGAGCTGGAAAGGGGACTAGCTGTCCCTTCCCAGGAAGTTGGCCGGCCCCTCCCTCATTCGAGCGAGAGGAAGCGACCGGGCAGTCTGATTACCAGACAGGCAGCACAGTCCTAGCTGGTCAAGTTTACAGTACAGTCAAGCACACGTCTTTATACATCTTCTCTGCAAAGGATCTTGGTGAAATACCTCAGGCAGAAAAGGACGCACTGCTCACTTGGGGGCAGGCTGTCTGCGACAACTATACTGCTCCTGCTCCAACAGGCAAAAAAATAAGAATAAGCCCGCAGTCCTGTAAGGGCTGAGAAGCCTGCTGCTGTGCCCTTCAGCCCTCCCCAGAGCCGACTTCCAAAGCGGAGGCTGCTCCACTTCTGAGGGGCTCCTGGGGCCCGATGGCTGGAGGCAGCTCGATGTCCCCTGCCAGCCTGCAGTGTGGGGACCTGGCAAGCACAAGGAGGCCCGGGGCCCGCTGCGCACCGCGCACGGTCAGCCTAGGAGGGATCTGCCTGATGGGAGGGTCTGGGCAGGGCGCCGAGGGGATGTGTGGCTGTGCCCCAGGCCTGCGAGTCATGAGCAGGGACCACGCACCCGTCCGTGGAACAGCTCGGGTTTGAACAAGCACCATCCTCGATGGAAGGTTCTGAAGGCGGGGCCGAGACACGGGCCTCTTTCCTCTCTGGTATGTTTTCCAATTTTTAAAAATGAGTTTATGAATGATTTATTTATCTATTTTGGGGTACTGGGGATTGAACTCAGGACCTTGGCACTTGCGAGGCAGGCGGCGGGGCCACTGAGCTACATCCCCAGTTCTGTTTTGTTTTGTTTTAAGCAAGGTTTTGCCATACAGCTCAGGCTATCCTTGAACTCCCAGCACCCCTGCTCCAGCCTCCTAAGCACTGGGATCCCAGGCGCGCACCGCCACACCAGGCTCTGGCTTGGATTTAAAGAACTTTCTGATGCGGTGTGAGTTGGTGGAAGGTGTTCTAGGCTCAAGCAAGTTTCATGACTTCAGCAGCTAAAGAAAAAAAAAATGCAATACTCATCTTCCTACCACACAGCGCGTCCCTGAGGTCCTACTGTCCTCAGGCGGTCAGTGCTACAGGAGAGGCCAGGGCTGCAGTGTTTCTCCTGTGCCTGAGAGTGAACAGCGCCTCGTGTGGGCTGCAGGCTCCCCAGCAGGCAGGGAGCCAGGGTGGACAGTGCTGGGAGGGACCCTTCCCACGGTGGCACCTCTATGTGGGGCAGCTCCCGCCGGAAACACCACCATTCCTTCCAAATGTGACCCTTCCCTGCCCTCCAGCACCGCCCTGCTCCCCAGGCCCCAGAGCTCTGGTCTGCTGCCGGGTCCCGGGCAGGCTCAGGCCACGCTGACTGCTATGGCCATGGCCGGAGTACAGACTGTCCCCTTAAGGCTCCTGTGGTACAGGCTGGGTGCCCAGTGGGGCACTACTGGGTGAGGGGGCTTTGGGGCCGTGCCCTTGATGGGACAGTGGGACCCTGGTCTCTCCACTGCACTTGCTGGCTCAGATATCAGTGCCTCGCTCTGCCATGTGTCTCTGCCATGACATGCCACACTGCCCAGGGACCCAAAGCCAGAGGGCCACCAGACCTTGATCTGGAGTCTCCAGAACTGTGAGCACAAGCCAACACTTTTTCTCTATAAGGCAGTTCCCCAAGTGTTTTATTACAGTAACACGAAGCCGACCAAGCCACCCTCGTGACAGCAAGCTTGGCAAGTGGCTGTTTCCCTCCCACATGGTAGCAGAAAACAGATTTCTGCAGGTCAGAATGAAACCTGTCCTCAGGTGGTCTGGCCACTGCTTGAAGACAGGCCACCACAGCAAGGCGGACAGCCTGCCTTGCGGCCAGACAGGAACGCAGAGGAAGTTGCCACGCAGGGCAGGAAGTTGCCATGTAGGAAGAGGTGGCGGCAGGGGTGAACCCTCAGGAGTTGCCCTCTGCATATGAAAAGTGAGCTGGCCCACAGGTCTTCACGGACCAGCACCCTCCCCGAGAGCTACGGCATGGTTTAAGGCACACGCTCTTCTCTGCTCTGTCCAGCTCCAGCCCAATGCAGACATCATGCTACGGTTTCCTGAGATTAGAAATGCAATCACTGAGTCCAAACAGAAATTCTCATGCCAAAAAAAAGAGGAAATTCTTCCACACAGACTGATTTCTCAGAGCTCACCAATTATGCGTGACTTTCTCATGTCCCGTGACAATTATTTGTGACTGTGACAGGGTCATACCCCGTATCAGTGGACAGTCAATAGATGATGTGGTGGAACATGCCAGGTCTTTTCTCTTTCTTCCTCTGTCCAGAATTTTGGACAGAATGAATAGTGAGTGAAGACACTGCAGTCTGGGTCGTTTTATTGTGAGCTAGGCACCTGGCCTTTGTGTCACCTGTCATAGAAACTACAGTGGACCCTTGGGTAATGGCTGGCCTGACAGATGAACTTAGGTTACGACTGGAATTTTAGCTTTATCTTACCAACAAAGTCTTGAGCTACGACCTAAACACCAGGGGCTTACACTCCCGATGGTGTCAGATACAGATTTAACCCCCGAAGAGCTCTAGAAGGAACATGACAACAACCTTTCCTGTGTGGGGTTCACTGAGAAATCCTGGTCCAGTGTCTCTCTGAGGACCCTGACATCTGCCTGTATACAGGAGACAGACTTTGAAGGCTGTATACAGGAGCCTGAGCCTTCGCTGACACAACCTGAGTTACAACCCACCCTCGGGAACTAACTGAGCTCGTAAGTCAAGGGCCCACTGTATCGGACAATTTGTGGTCTTGGTCTGATTTTGGAGCCTGAGAGACACACTTCCAGAGTTCACCTTGGGCCGGTGGCTGGTAACTGACCACAGGGCTCTCAGGCTGCAGGCTACAGCCACATCTGGGGCGGCCCGCCAGCCCTTTCACGTGAGGAGCCTGCGGAGATGGGGCCGTTGGGGTAGGGTGCCAACGCATCCTCCCGACACTCCTACGGCTACTGGGGCTGCCTGAGTGCTTGAAGGGAAGTAATTTCCAAGGAAGGAGGAACACGGACACACACGCATACACAAACACACGCAGACATGTACACACGTTCACCGCGTGCAGGCACCCCCCAAACACATACTCACACATGTGCACGCATGGAGCTCACACAGATGTACACACAATGCACGTACAGATGCACATGTGCACACACACACACACACACACACACAGAGGTGTGTACAGGTGTGCTCTGAATGTGGAGCCCAAAGCAGTCTGTAAAGCAGTGTGTCAACGCACGGCCACGCTGTCTGGGTAGGAGTTCAGACTGACTTATTTGCCAAATGTTCTTGGGCAAAGACCCAAGAGGAAAGAATCTCCTGGGGTTTAAAAAAGACCAGAGAGGTTGCTGCCTCTGGTCTGGGCCCTCAGCACGGAAGCTAGAGGAGGAAAGGCCCCCAGGAACGCGGGTTGGCTGTGCGCTGGCCAGCCTCAGCTGGGACTTCTCTGCGCTGTGCAGCGATACCCACGCGCGAGGAAGACCCTCGAGTCTGAAGGCTGTGATGAGAGAGGCGGCCTGTGAGGCGTTTCCGTCCGCCTGGAGGGCAAAGCCCAGACCCAACTCTACAGGCCAGGCGGGCAGACCGATGCAAGAGGCCCTTCCGGTGTGCCCGACGCCAGTGAGCAGCCAGCGAGCCGCCGCCGCGCACTTACTCATTGTGTGCGCGCCGTTCTCTTCCCCGTTCACCGTGGTCTCTCCGTTCTTTGGCGGGTTTTGCTGAGAAACAGCTGCTGGGGCTGCTGCGGCTGCTGTCGTGGTCGTTGTTGCTGCCGTTGCTGCCGTCGCTGCCGCC